GGAAGATCATTGATGTATTTGAGGAAGAGCAGGGGACTAAGGACACTTCCCTGCGGAACTCCAGTATCAAGTGGCCGTGTTGTTGATGCTGTGTCTTTAATAGTGACATGCTATTATAAGGTAAGATTTGAAATATGCAAGCGCATGGCCTCTTATACCACAATGGTCAAGTTTGTGGAGTAGGATGCCGAGGTCTACTGTGATGTGAATCTCCCTACATCCCAGTGGTTTAGGCCTAGTTTGATAATATAACGAATTTCCCTTATAGAATGAGTTAGTGAGTTTCTCTACACTCGAGCGTTGCAGGTCTTGTAGTGGGTTGGTATAAGTAGTAGACAGTAACCACCCAGGGAAATACTACAGTCCTGCCAAATGCGTGTGAAACGGAAACCTGTAATTGTTTTACACAATGGAAGAATTACTGGTGTCTTTTCTTTCTATCTCATTAACAAGCAAGAAAAACAGGCACATCGTGCTATTTCTACTTACACTACGGTCTCAATACATATACATGTTCACGTACATGTATACACGCTAATCTCATGTACATGTATGCACGCTAATCTCACGTACATGTATGCACGCTAATCTCACGTACATGTATGCACGCTAATCTCACGTACATGTATACATGCTAATCTGAATTTTATTCTATTTTCTTAATAATTCTTAATTTTATTTATTTTCCCTGTACAAATTGCTAAGAATAATAATAATATGAAAAACTTTATAGAGCAAAGATGTTTGAAGGTGGTTGGATGTATTGTAAATGATAAGTATGGCACAAGAATGTATGACATTTGAATGTATGACACATGAATGTTGACGCTTGAATGTATGACACATGTCTGTATGACAAGTGAATGTATGACACCTGAATGTATGACACCTGAATGTATGACACATGAATGAATGACATTTGAATGTATGGCACTTAAATGTATGTCACATGAATGTATGACACTTGAATATATAACACTTGAATATATGACACATGAATGTATGACACCTGAATGCATGACACCTGAATGTATGACAATTAAACGTATGACATATAAATGTATGACACATGAATGTATGACACCTGAATGTATGACACTTGAACGTATGACATATGAATGTATGACACTTGAATATATGACACCTGAATGTATGGCACGTGAATGTATGACACATGAATGTATGACACTTGAATGTATGACACTTGAATGTATGACACCTGAATGTATGACACCTGAATGTATGACACTTGAATGTATGACTCCTGAATGCATGACACATGAATTTATGACATTTAAATGTATGACATTTAAATGTATGACACATGAATTTAAAACAATTGAATGTAGGACACCTGAATGTATGGCACTTGAATGTATGGCACCTGAATGTATGATGCCAGAATGTATGACACCTGAATATATGACACTTGAATATATGACATCTGAATGTATGACACCTGAATGTATGACACCTGAATGTATGACACCTGAATGTATGGCACATGAACGGATGACACTTGAATGTATGACACATGAATGTATGACACCTGAATGTATGACAGTTGTGTGTATGACACATGAATGCATGACACCTGAATAAATGGCACCTGAGAGTATGACACCTGAATGTATGACACATGAATGTATGACACCTGAATGTAGGACTCCAGAATGTAAAACACATGAATGCATGACAAGTGAATGTATGACACCTGAATGTATGACACCTGAATGTATGACACCTGAATGGATGACACCTGAATGTATGACACATGAATGTATGACACATGAATGTATGACACTTGATTGTATGACACCTGAATGTATGACACATAAATGAATAACACATGTGTGACACCCGAATGTATGACACTTAAATGTATAACACGTGAATGAATGACACATGAATGTATGACACCTCAATGTACGACAACTGAATGTATGACACCTGAATGCATGACACCTTAGTGTATAACACATGAATGTATGGCACCTGAATGTGTGACACCAGAATGTATGACACTTAAATGTATGCCACATAAATGTATAACACCTGAATGCATGACACCTGAATGTATGACACCTGAATGTATGACACCTGAATGTATGACACTTGAATGTATGACACATGAATGTTTGATACATGAATGTATGACACTTGAATGTATGACGCTTTAATGCATGACACCTGAATGTATGACGCCTGAATGTATGATGCCTGAATGTATGACAACTGAATGAATGACACATGAATGTATGACATATGAATGTATGACACATGAATGAATGACACTTGAATGTATGACACATGAATGTATGACACATGGATGTTTGACACTTGAATGTATGAAACGTGAATGTATGACACCTGAATGATTATATGACACTTTGAATGAATGACACATGAATGTTTGACACCTGAATGTATGACACTTGAATGTATCACACCTAATGTTGACAACCTGAATTTGACATATGTTGACACATGAATGATGACACCTGAATGTATGACACTGAATGTATGACACTGAATGTATCACACCTGAATGTTTGACAATGAATGTTGTATGAACAAAATTCAATGTATGACACATGAATGTTTGACACTTGAATGTATGACACCTGAATGTATGACACCTGAATGTATGACACCTGAATGTATGACACCTGAATGTATGACACCTGAATGTATGACACCTGAATGTATGACACATTAAATCTGTATGACACCTGATGTATGACATCTGAATGTATCACAAATACACGAATGGAATTTCCAAACCGAAGGAATTGAGGAAGAAAAAAACACATACAATATTTAGTTGCCAAACTTAAGATAAAAACATAAAGATGCAGACTATTGACCAGTATCTTTGACATAAATAATATGGCAGGTAATAGACAAGATAATTAGAAAGGGAGTTATAAAATCCCTGTAGAGATGTCTCTTCATGAAGGGGCATCATAAATATAAATCCACAACCCCAAAATTGATTCAGAGCCCCCGTCTGTAATAATAATAATAATAATAATAATAATAATAATAATAATAATAATAATAATAATAATAATAATAATAATAATAATAATAATAATAATAGTAATAATAATAATAATAATAATAAATAATAATAATAATTAATATGATAATATAATAATATATAATAATAATAATAATAATAATAATAATAATAATAATAATAATATAATAATAAAAAAAAAATAATAATAATAATAATAATAATAATAATAACAACAACAATAATAATTTGATAATATCTTTATTTATTACAAATACATGTACAAGGTATACAAACCGTAGCAGATATCTATGACATACTACTGTACAGAAAACTCCTTGTTATTCTGAGTATTTCCCGCCAATTAGGTCAATGTCCCAGGATGCGACCCACACCAGACCACTAACACCCATTTTACTGATGGGTGAACATAGATAACAGGTGTAAAGAAACACGCCCAGTGTTTCTACCATGGCTGGGAATCGAACCTAGACCCTCGCCTTGCGAAGCGAGAGCTTTAGTCACCAGGCCACCGGATGACAGAAGTAAAAATTATAGGAGAAATGCCTAAAAGTAAAGAAAGAGAGTAATAGTTTGATAACAGAGGTTACACAAGAATAGGTACTGGAACTAACATTTTGTCTAGTATATTTGAGAAACAGGTCAGGAAGGAAGAATGTCGTAAGTACCTTTGAGGAGAATATAATTAGGAGAAAGGTAAGAAGTCAATACACGATGACTTGGACAAACTGCAGTGATATTGAGTGGAGTAGCAAATGCTGGGCCAGGATAACACAAACAATAAAGTGGCAGGAAAGTGAGTGTTGGCAGTAAACTGTACTCATATGTTGAGCACAGTAACGAACATAAGACCAGAAGAGCACATAAGAACATAAGAACATAAGAACATAAGAACATAAGAAAGAAGGAACCCTGCAACAGGCCTGCTGACCCATGCGGAGCAGGTCCATATCTCCCCCCCCCCCGGATTACATGAGTGCAATAACTTCCTTGACATATAAGTACTTGACAAATCTTAGCATAATTTTCAGGACCCTCAACAAGCAGTTATTAAAACTCAATATATCAAATATTTTTTTGCGCAACATGAAGTATGTAAAAGTATCATGGAATTCCTATCTGATAAATCATGTCAAAAATCTATCCTGGACTTACGGGAAATGGAAAACGAGAGACTAAAAGGGCAGAACCTGTTAACAGAGTATAGACTGACCTGTGGAGAACTGATAGCAGACACGAGAGAAAGAAGCATAGTTAAAAGTTTAAAATACAGACGAATATATATATTTTTTGCGTAAGTGAACAGAAATTAAAATGATCTGGATATTATCGTGATTTCCAATACCGGGACACACAGCTTCAACAATATCCAGTATCCAGAACACTAATAATAGTAATACGTGTACCGGCCATGTCTGTTACGTTGTCAGGACATGAACTGTGACTCGATCCTCGCCTCAATAATTATGTGAAGAAAGTGAATTTATATTACTAACAATATTTATTTTTATTTTCACTAAGATTCGCTAAGTTTCTGTAACTTTTATTATTGTTGTTAATAAAATTGACTTTCCTCCTGCAGTTCTTCCTGCTAATGGTAACTGGTAATATATTCTAGTGTTGTTTAGAGAGAGACAGAGAAAACAGGTGAAAAGTTCAGTTTCGAGCAAGACTTAATCACCAGTATGTTATCACACTATCTGAATAATTTTATTAGAGATATGATAAGTTTTACTGGGGAAGGAAAAATGTTATTAATAAATGTCGGATCAGTAACTTAAATACCGATAATTTTATGAGTTTGTAATTACGGGAGTACTTAATTAGGATGATAAACTGTACATTACCTAAGTTCTCATCCTTCCTTAGTTAAGTCTAAAATTACTTAGTGTTTTGTAGACGATTTTGAGAGTGCATTTGTACGTATGTATGTATGCATGCTGCGTAGTTTGATAGGCAGGGTGCCAGGCAACACACGCTGAAAGCTCCACTTCAAGCCTAAGCTTCCAAGGGAGAGGAAGTGTTTGGGATCCTTTCCCATAAATTATCCTCAGTACATTGGCTGCGAG